TGAGATCTTGAGGCCTTGGAGGATCGGGAGTAAACGGGACGACTTCTACCGAAACTCATCAGCGGCAGTGCATAGATCGGCGCCTTACGAAGCAGTCCTTTTTTCCACTCTCCACATCATGCACGATGGCCTACGCCTGAAAGCCTTATCGCAACTACCGCAAGCCTTCCGGGTACCATTTCACGGGATAATGTTGCCTTGTTTCTCATCTTTCACAGAAACTGGCGTTGGCGGCTTGTGCACCAGATGCTCCGAAGCTTGCCCTGGGGCAGTTTCTGAAAGCCGCAGCCACTGCCTCGGCGTCGGAGGGCCGCGCATGCCTTGCAGCTTTCTATGTGCTTCTGGATCCCGCCAAAATTCCCTCACCTGAATCACTTGACTCCCCTGAGGTCGATGACATCGTCAGGGAAATGCCGGTGATTCTGCTGCCGCTCTACAGCATTGAGGTTCCTGCCGAACTTGGTTCCGATCTATGGTGTCGCGTATGGGCATGGGCAAATTTTATCCATACGTATAAGGAGCATCTTCCGGGACCACCACTTCCTGAGGCAACCTTCTGGGTCGACTTCCTGATCTACACGGCCAATTTTCATATAAACGATGCCCCAGCGCCTTATCTATACAACTCGGTTGGATTCAAATCCCTTATGACGGCGACGTGGGGATTCGTACTGGATGTGGAGGACCCCGACACACGGGATCTCGGATTGACGCTGATCATAGGCCTGCTGCCCGGCATGAACCCCGTGGACGACGCTAATTTGGAGGAAATCATCGATGCCGCGGGGGGCGTTGACTATCTCGCTCTGCTGATCATCAAATGTATGCATGAAATCCTTGCTAGGGCGGAAACACCTCTCTCCCATGAAGACCTCTATCTCATCCATGCCGTCCTCAATTTCGTGGCAGAAGCGGAGCATCTGTGTATTAAAGGCCAGCCTATGTACGAGGGTACACTAGGGCGCTTGGGCACGTCGCTAGCCGCCCTTGATTTTGCTCAAGTGCTCGTCGCTGTGGCATGGACTGTGGGGGAAAACGCCGGAGACACTGATGTGATAAAGTTCAACCTGGACCGCTGCTTCCTTCTTCTCGCGCGGATCTTCCTTCTCGAAACGGGACACCATCATCTCCCATCCGCCATTTCTCAGGGCCTGCTCTGTGCACTCATCTGTGCTGGACAATTTGATGGCACTATCCAAAACCACTTCACGCTCTTCTTCTACGGCATCCTACCAAGGGCATTGATATCCTACCATGCCGTCGCGGCGCTGAACGCTGCCCTCCCTGACGCGGAAGAGTGCGCAACTTCCCAGGTTTTCCGCCGTTCCCCGGGATTTGGGCCATGGCAGCGATTTTGCGCTTTGACAAAGAAATCCCTGCATGTTCTCAAATTCTGCGAAGAATATATTCCAGACAAGACCTGTGATAATATGGAGGTGATGTCGCCCCACGGACTCTCCTGGTTGTCACTAACGCAGAGCAGTGCAACCTCATAGAGAGTAAAACGGAGTTCTCGCGCTGTTCAGGCTGTCTCAATGTCTATTATTGCTCCGCCGAATGCCAAAAAAGCGACTGGCGGACGGGTGGGCATCGGAATGTTTGTGCTGAGTACGGCAATCTTACCCTGAGTACGTGCTGCTTTGTCCGTAACCGTCAGCGCGCCTCAAATCTCACTTACGATATCAGGCGCACGGAATAATCCAAGCGTCCGGGAGCGAGACTTCCTCCGAGCGTACCTCGACGCAGAATACACCGATTCTAAGGGGAGTATCTACGCACAGCACACCCTCTGCTTGCAACGGTTTCCAAACTCCACGCTTGTCACAGTTTTCGACTACACGAACGGCCCGGTGGATATCTCCGTGCACCCGCTCGAGTCCGAGTCGGCGCGCGTGCAAGAACTGCGGGCGTATGGTGCGGAGTGGGAGTACAGCGTTGCGCGCGCACGACGCAGCGGCGGCAGAATGGTGCTGCATGTGGTACGCACACAGCAAGGCAGGGCGGCACCGCGCTATGTCCTGGTACCCCTACGAAAGACTGGCTCTGGTGTCGACACACTGCTGGAGGAGTTCGCAGCATCACTTCCCACCCCGCACAACGTCCCGCTGGTAGAAGAACTCTGGTTGAAGTTACGACCTAAGGCGGAAGCGGCTGATGAAGAAGTTACGGAGACTCACTAGATAGCTTCAGATCTATTGATTTATTTTGTCCACCTTGATGCTCCTCTCCCAAAAGTTGATCATTCCCCCCCGGGTTTGAACGTGAATTCCTGCCTCGCTGGTAATTAATGAGTTCTGATCCATGTTTGGGGGCACGGATTAAGACTAAGCTTGTTGAATTTCCAAGAACAGCTATGTACGTTCATCACACTGATGAGTTGTACCGAGTGGTAATAATCAACCACCGAGCGGTACGCACTGCCTAAAATACGGTTCTGTTGGCCACGGCCGGCATCTCCGCCCAATGAAAGTGAACTTTTCAAATTTTGACGAGGTTCGCCTTCCCCCTGACGGTATGGATGTCCACGGCCGAGTTTTACCCTGCATGTTGAGTGACTCCAGGCATTGACGCGGGGGTTTTTCAACACTGGTCGAATCGCAGCTATTACACATCCTCTGGACAAATTCCGGAGAGAGGAAGGAGCGTCAAAGATGGGAGGATCGAAGAAGGAATATTAATGAGGGAATATTCTTTGACACCAGCACCTGCATGCGCAAGTGTCCATGCGCGATCCGCAAAGACGGCCATGCCCCGCCGCGCAGATAGAGAGCCGGAAACAAGCTAAAGCAGAGAGACAGAGCCGGAAACCGTTAAAGCAGTAACAAGTAGCGCTGCGTACACTCCACTGTTCCAGTACCATGGACCTGTAATTACGTCTCTCCCTACTACACAACGAGCCCAGTGAGCCACTGAAACGCGGTCAGACTGATCCAACGTTAAATGGGCGAAGGACGTAGATACCATTTTGCAATCGATGCAATACTGTACCGCCGTCCCCTTGGGAGGCTGTCCAACAATGACGGCGTTGCTCTTCAGGCGTCTCGAACCCACCCTTTGGCTTTTGAAACCTGTCGGCCACTTTTGAACCACGCGGCCGCCGGAAATAGATGACGGGATAGGGTTAGCCATCTCTTCAACCGTGAGCAGGGATTGTGCTGGGTCTGTATCGCGCGTACGTTGCGCTTGCGTCGCTGTATATATATACATACAGGTATAACGAAGTAAACATGGCAAGCTAGACGCGGAAACGCACAGTTGCTCTGGTTGTTATTGCTTCTTCGGTTGGGCCGACGCAAAAGAGCCGCGGTGAGGATACTGTGCATGCGAGTAAGATCGCCTGGGGCGCAGATGCGGCATGCTCGAAAGTGGAGGCCAAATATGGGCGAATTGATGCAACGCCGGGCGTGCGTCTGTTGTGTCGCGATCGGCGCATGGGTTTGGGTTCTGCATCTAGGCTCATGGCTGCGGCGCGTTTCATGTGACTGCATCTGGTGGCACGGTGTGCCGTGGGCACGGCGCCTAAGGAGCAAGAAGCAATCAATGGATACACGGGCGGTGCTGAGCGCTGAACGCGGAACGGAAGACGTACGCGGAGCAAGGAGAATCCAGACGTCCGTGCCGTTGTTGGAAGTGAGGCCGCCGATGGTAGGCACGGTGCAGACACGCGAAGGCGAGAATGAGAAAAGAGGGAAGTCTGGGGTTGCCGTAGTCATATGTAGACGGAACGGAACAAAGCCTGAGGGTCACGGGAGAAAATTATAATTGTAATGGAGTACCTGCACTGGTGGGAAGAAGGAAGAAAAGAGATCGACAAAAACAGTATGCGCTACGCACCTTCGGTCCTCGGCAGCTACTTCTCGGGCAGTGTTGGTCTGGACATGGTTGCCTACCGAATCTGTTTGCACGGAGCGCATGAGGTTTACCGGGTTAGCGGGGTTTGTGCTCATGGTCGACTTCCCGTACCACGGCGAGGTCAATTGCGAACGTTCTGGGTGTGAGGTAAGGATTTGGGCTAGAGTCCTGGAGACAGCGCAAGAGACAGCGAGCGACGATTCAGACCTGGGCGAGCGATGAAGACAAGTGAAGTGGCGCGCTCTCAGAATCGGCCGCCTCGCGCGGAGTCCAGCCGAGGTTAGCGAACTTCATCTTGACAGACGTGGCGGACGAGCGCAAACGACGTTACATCGCGTAACGTCGAAACGAGGCGGGGGCGAGGCGCACACCGGAGACTGGCTGAGCGGGGGAGCGGCCCGGAGGTGGCGCTCGCGACAAGGAGCAAGAAATGAACCAACGGGTAAGGTAGTTAGATGTGCAAGAGGGCCCCCATAAACAAAATGAAAGAGAGTGCACGAGACGCAGACGAGAAACTAAGATCTCGAGACTTTCAAAGCCACTCATCGACTACAGTAATTGTCGATCATCTGGTCTCGTCAGAGCCCTAACGAGCACCTGAAGCCAGAGTCTAGTAGTAGAGAGTTGGGATGGTTCGATTTGGACGGGTTTCCGTGAGATTCAGAGCTCCCACTGGCAGTGGATGTTGTCGAAAGAAAGAAGAGACTCCTTCCGGATCATTCCGCTTTTCAGAATCCGGTGTGCCGCGATTCGGCAAGGAGTGATGCGATCAGCTGGCTTTCTCTCTTTGCTCTCGACGTTCATGGTCCTTCAGGCGAATGCTACTACCGCGTCTTCTACGAGACTTCCCAGCGCTGAACTCAACTCGCGAAACACTTCCAAGTCACGAAAATCCAATCTGTTCCCCCAGAGTGCCCTGTTCTCCGCAGCAGCGCCGCTAAATGACTATCCATCCAAATAATTCCCATCCCTCCAGTGCAGTGGCAACGCGTGAATCTCATCCGGCTGCAGATTCTTTTCAAATGCATCTCGCCTACATCCCAGGCGCCGCCAGTCTATTTTAGTCTACTCACTGCGGCGACAAATTTATTCAGATACCAAATCAGCAACTCGCGTAACTGTACAGTGACCGCCCCTGCAAAAGTACATTGGACGCGGTGCACGTAGCACTTCTGCCCAGCATCCACGGGAAGGAATATTGGAAGCAGGTTTCCTGGGTTCGATTCCCAGCGTCCGAGATGGGCGAATGGCTTTTTTTTTTTCATCCTTGCGTTGACCGGCTAACATGTTGCAGGAATGAGTAACTTCAAGCCCACTGGTTGGGATTCTGTCAAGTACTCCTGGCGACGCACTCAGCCGACAGTTGAATCCACAAAATCGCCGACCTATTCCACTATCCACAGTTCAGAACCACTCGGACGTGGTGCGCGGGCAACGCCTGCTCAAAATTCGTGTGCGTCCTCTTGTAGAAGCAGGTCTTCTGGGTTCGACTCCCAGCCTCCGAGCTGATTTTTCTTCTATCTACTTTTTCCGCATCGCTCGCAGGTATTTGTTTTAATGGCATCTTCTCAGTTCTTCTTATCTTCCTCCCTCGCATTCCAGGGTATACCGCAGACAACGGTTTGACCTTTCGGCGTTCAGAAGCAGCAGTCATAATCCGGGGTGATTTGGATTGGAAGTCGTTTGTGAGTTCTATCAGAATTCACTCCATTCAGGTCAAAATATAATACCCATTAGAATTGAGCAGCTGTCGTAAATAGGTAAGTATCATTGCACAGCAGATACTCAGCTGGTTACCCGGATCATTGACGTTTAGGATTTCTACTTACCAACCCCACACACGCCATTAACTCGCACCTCTCTGACTTATCGTGCTCACCAACGTTCAAAGCAACTCGGATGCGGTGCATGGTGCACTCCTGCAGGATATTATGATTGCAGTGTTCAGCTATCGATGCAGGTTTCTTGGGTTCGACTCCCAGCGTCCGAGATAGGTCGTTATCAACAGCCCTTTTTGTTCTTGTTCTTTTTTGTAATCTTGGGCGAGAGTCAGTATCGATCAAGTCGGCATATTGCTCACCCAAGTCTAGAATTTTCCTGGCGGAAAAGGAAAGCTATCTATTTTTGTCACTTTATCTTACTCAGTTATAGCGCCGTTCAGGGAGTTTAAGGGATACAAGAAATGCCTCCGCTACGCTCCGGAAAGCAACAACCTGCGGCACAGTTTTGCGCAGTCAGTGTGACGCCTTGCGAGCTACAGCTGCTGTTCAACTTTACAGCTTTTACATGGCCACGCAGGCTATGCTTACCCAAACCAGAAGCCAAGAAAATTTTCAAGCTTTTGACGAGAATAAAATGCCAAAGAAAGATGTTTGGTTCTCCTTGGCTCAGTCTTGGCTCAATTTTGGGTGAATCAAAAGTGATGAACAGTAAACAAAAGCCCGTCATCTCGTTAAGAATACGAAGTATCTGTGCACGATCCGGAACTGAATAAGAAATCCGACGTGGTGCGCGGTGCATGCCCAAAATGCGTTGAGTGTTCTCGTATAGAAGCAGATGTTCTGGGTTTCAACTCCCATCGTCGGAGATACACCGCTAACCAGCAGTTTTTTTGCTCTGGTTCTGTTTGGGAGTCTCGGGGACAGAAGTCGCCCTCGGGCTCGGAGCGGTTCGATCAAGTGATTGAGTCGTGCAGCCGGTCAACTTCCGAGGACCGGGCACGATGAGACTCGATGCAACAAGCTTAAAACAACCCCCTAACTTCTAAGTCCAGAGAGATGGTAGAGACGAAAAGACGGTGCGTCAAATCTCCAAATGTGGAGTCCTGTTATTGAATCCGGTGGCGATTCAGGCAGATATTATATTTCCATGGAGGCGGCTTTCGGTTGGTCAGTTTGCCTTTTTTTCAACCTTCCTCTCAACTATAGCGAGAGGACAGAGCTTCCGAGCCTAGCCATCTCGGATCGGATCGGACAAAGTGATGCGATCGGGGCGCTTTTGACGCTCATGTTTTTTTGACCCTGCATCCAGGTTCTTCCGTTCCCAATCCTTCCGCCTTATGCCCTCGTTCTTCCTCTCATTTCAAGTCAATTGTATACTTACGCTGACTTCGACCTCGGCCACCGTACTGCGGGCCTGCGGCACCACCAAGGCACCACCATATGACTACTATCTTGATACTTTGGAGAACCGGAAAGAACGCGAATCGCGGCCGCCACAAAACTAATCACCACTTCGTCATGGGTGCAATCGCGACCCATTTCTGGGGTGTGAAACACTTCTAATCCTTGGTCGTACTTGCCGCTTGCACCAAATAATGCCCACTGTCCCAGCCGAACTGTCACTCGTTATCCAGCTTCTAAGTCCCGGTCTTACTCTACTTTCCCACCCACTGTCCTCTGCACAATCACATGCTTTCACCAGAACACTTTCCCCTAGCTCGATTCAAGTTGGGCAATCCATTATTCCCTCCCATGAACCGATTAAAGCGCGCGATTCAGATTCTCCTGCGTCCGGTCGAGTCCAACTGCCTGAATTCAATTGCAACTTGGCGCAACTCCAGACGCACACAACGCCCGCGTCAACATCTCGTCTCGCGTGAGGACCATCTATATTTTCTGCCTCTTTTTGAGATCTGGTTCGGCAACGCCTGACGGCGTGAGCCGCGTTTGAACGATGCACCGCACCAATTCGACAAATTTCCGGTCGCCGTAGCGCTTTGCAGCTAGTACTATAGTGTCTCAATATCCCGGCAACAATTCGACCGTAGCGACCCTCTCTCTCAGCTAAGTTTCCACATACCACTTTCAAAAATCGAATGACGGTGGCCAGTCTGTTAAGGCATTCTCCGTTCATTTCTTTTTTCCCCACTGCTCCTCTTAAGCTTCTCATGTTCCCCAAGTGATTCCGCATTTGCATCTACAATCTGCCACCATGAACCCTCAAAATCTGATATGCTGTCAATACAGGCGAGTATATTTGACTTGATACAGCTCCGTCGGTTTCCCTGCCTTGTTATTCCTTGACAGTTAATGTTTTGCTTCGTTGGAATGAGGCGTCTGCGAAATATCGGGAAGCATGCGAAGTACTGGCACGCCTGGTAATTCTATTTCGAAAACTCGCATAACTGCACAGCGACCAAAAGCCTCGGACCAGTTCGAGAAGGAGGACTGGATTCTGGAAGCAGGCCTTCCCGGTTTGCCTTCAAGCGTCCGAGATAGCTTGAGCTCTTTGACAGATTTTCCCCCCTCCTGAATTTGACTGACTTGTTGCGGGAATGAACGCATTAGAGCTATGACTTATATCTGATCATTCCTCGACGGATTACAGAGGGACTGTTATTCGGTCGACTAATCATGGCGACGCACTCAGCCGACACTTGAATCTATCAAATCGCCGACCTATTCCACTGGACACAGTTGTAAAGCCAAATTGGTGCACACCTGTGACCTGTCCAATGTTGCTCAGCCAGCCTTTCATATGCGGGTGCTCTGGGTTCCGAGTCAACTCCCATCGTCCGAGATGTCATAAAACTCTGTCTTTTTTCCTCTTTTTCTCGGTCTTTTTCTTGTGCCTCTGATGGGTGAGAGGTTTTGTCGGTTCCCCATAGACCAATTTCACCATCCATTGACTCGGGAATCTATATTCTTCACCGAGTTTAACTAATTCAGTTTGGGGATATCGCATATGATACATACGTTTTCGCTGGTGGAATGGGCGTGGGAACAGCATCAGTTGATCATGATTGATCATCAGAGTCCAGGCTTTTGAAAACACTGCCACGGCCATCTCTTCCTTTTTCTTCCGTCGCCCATGTCAAAATCCACTTCAGACTCCGCGGCAGAGTCGCTGACCACCAAACAGCAAATCCATTCATCAACAAAATGCTTGGTCTTATCACTGTGTCCAGCGAGTACTGTCATCATTGCTGCCATTTGGAAATTGAAATCGCTGCTAGCGATTTCCTGACGAATACGATGGGAATTGCACCCCCAGAGCTATCCTGGTTCCTCCGTGTCGTGTCTTGCTCGAATTTCCTTCCGCTCATGCCTTTCCGTTGTACCCAACGTTCTATACTCATCCTTCCTTCCCAAAAAAACGCGAATCATTGACAGCCACTCTCAAAACGCTGCCGTTCTTTGTTAAAATCCTCGCACGAGTTTTGGTCTTATCGTTCCATGGAAGCAGTTCTCTCTGGTAACCACCTATTTCAGCATCTCCTGGTTATCTGGGTCAATCCTCTCCTGGAATATTAATCAACTGACGACCTGCGACCTCCCCGCTCATGTCTCCCTTCTTTCTTGTCCTCGTTCCAACGCTCTAAATCCGGGATTCATCCAGAGTCTCATTACCCGCAACGCGACAACTGTCTCCGGTCGGAGGTATTGTTCCGACCGCGCCTTTCTTAAACCGGTGAATTATCGCCAATGTATCTCAAAACTGTTACCTTTCGGCGTCGTGTCTTTCTCGTTCGCTCTCGGCATTGCATCTCATCCCTTCCCAAACACAAGTTATATCCCGACCCTCGGCGAGTCTCAACTTCGAACCGAAGACGCTACACGAACTGCCGCAAATCAGTCCGAACCTCCGGCACGCAGAGCAGACACAACATTCTCGTCCTGCCAGCTTGCGTGGCTCTCGGAATACCACTATCGCACCATACAAGTTCTCATTCTAATCGCGACTACGCAAGCTCAGGCATCTGCGACCTAAACCTCACAAGTTCCAACAGCTATCGCCATCCGAGCCTTGTCCCACAAAATATGGACTTCTACGATCCCAAAATCTGTACCACTACGATCCGAACCCGCTTTTGGAACAAGGTTCTTACGGATCATGGCCAACATTTAGCCAACATTATCAAGTCACTACACGAATAACATATCTGCAATTCAAATCACTGCAGCATCGTAATTTTCACCTTCGCCAGGTCTAGGTCTCCTCGCGGAAAATGTAGCAGGCCAGAGCTCAGTCAACCGCGCCATTTGGTACCAACCCTCTGATTCTGGTACTTGCAACCAACCATCTGGTTCTGATTAAACTATACCACTGGCATACCATATACTCATTCCACCATTTCGTATACAGGTGACTTCCGGAGAATTGGGGGCTCCCGCTTCTTGATCTCTGCACACAAGGCCCTGCGCCCGGAATCCTCCCACAATCTTCACTCACGGTACTGCTCGATCAGATATCACTGAGGCGCATCAATCCCCGCGGCCTTTTGTAGGTGCAAACG